TCCTCTCAGCCTTCTCTTCCTCAGGCTAAACATGCCCAGCTCCTTAAGCCACTCCTCATAGGGCTTGTTCTCCAGACCCTTGATCATTTGAGTCGCCCTCCTCTGGACACATTCCAGCTTGTCAATTATCTCTCTTGAATTGTGGTGCCCAGAATTGGACACAGTATTCCAGGTTAAGTGGTCTAGCCAAAGCGGAATAGAGCACGGGGAGCATGACTTCCCTGGATCTAGACACTAGGCTCCTCTTGATGCAGGCCAAAATCCCATTGGCTTTTTTTGCCGCCACATCACATTCCTGGCTCATGTTTAACTTGTTGTCCACGAGGACTCCAAGATCCTTTCCACACGTCCTGCTCTCAAGCCAGGCCTCATCGCCCCCCATTCTGTATCTTTGCATTTCGTTTTTTCTGCCTAAGTGGAGTATCTTGCATTTGTCACTGCTGAACTTCGTTTTGTTAGTTTTGGCCATTCATCTCTCTAATCTGTCAAGATCGTTCTGAATCCTGCTCCTGTCCTCTGGAGTCTTGGCTCTCCCTCCCCATTTGGTGTCGTCTGCAAACTTGATGATCCTGCCTTCTCACTCTTCATCCAAGTCATTACTAAAGATGTTGAACAGGACCGCATCCTTGGCTGCATCCAAAAGGAGTCTGTGTCTGGATGGAGAAAAGTAGTATTGCCATGGCTCAGCACTAGTAATATATATGACTGAACATGAGCCAAGAGTGTGATGCTGCAGCGGAAAAGGCCAATGCAATCCTAGCCTGCATCCATAGGAGTCTAATGTATGGATGGAGGAAAGTAACATAGCTATGGCTTGGCAATAGTAATATATAAGACAATAGTAATATATAAGATGCGGAACAATGGCTTCAAACTGCAAGATTCCATCTGAACACAAGGAAGAACTTCCTGACTGTGAGAGCCGTTCAGCAGTGGAACTCTCTGCCCCGGAGTATGGTGGAGGCTCCTTCTTTGGAAGCTTTTAAGCAGAGGCTGGATGGCCATCTGGCAGAATGGGATTGGACTGGATGATGGCCCAGGAGGTCTCTTCCAACTCTAGGATTCTAGGATTCTATGACATGAGTCAATGGTGTGATGCTGCAGCGAAAAAGGCCAATGCAATTCTAAGCTGCATTCAAAAGGAGTCTAGTGTCTGGATGAAAGTAATATAGTCATGGCTTGATGATAGTAATTTATGTGACTGAACACGAGCCAAGAGTGTGATACTGCAGCTCAATAGACCAATGCAATTCAAGCCGATGCAATTCAACATCACACTCTTGGCTCGTATATTGATGAAGGGATGTAATAATAATACTAATAATGATGATGATGATGATGATGATGATAATAATAATCTTTATTTATACCCCGCCACCATCTCCCCAATGGGGACTCGGAGCGGCTAACATGAGGCCAAGCCCGGACAACATGTTACAGCAAAATAACACCAAAACATAAACAATACACAACATCAAAATTACATAGAAAAAGCATACATACACACACACAATAACAAAATAACATTCCAATAAACACATGTAATATAGCTATGGCTTTAAAAAACTTTAAAAATAAATTATTATTATTGTTGTTGTTGTTGTTGATACTAATAATAATAATAAGCACAACTGCCACTTGAGCTCAGGCCCTGGCTTATATAGGTTAAACAGGGGTGCTTTGAATGCAACATTCCTGCTTCTTGGCAGAATGGGGTTGGACTGGATGGCCCAGGAGATCTCTCCCAACTCTAGGATTCTAGGATTCTATAATATAGATGACTGAACCCAAGCCATGGCTTCTCCTTCTAATCCAGGAAGGGTCTTTTGCAATTTGGCGTCCCTTTGACGTCAAGCATGCCCCCCCCCCAAACAAGGGATGGTGACTTATAGTTCTGCAAAGGACAAAGGTACCAGACTGCACAATAGGGGTTAAGTCTTGGTCAATTTGCCAAGGCCTTAACAACAATGAGGACCCCATGAAACTTTGGGAATGGCTAGACCTTGGGGTCTCTGCCTCTCTCGGGAGCTGTAGTTCTCTAAGGACGGGGAGTGAAGCTTGTTTCCTGAGACACCAGGTCCATTTGGGCCACTCAAGAACTCCTGCCAGGACCTTTGTGCAACACCCTTGCGTTTTAGCCATCCCCTATGGACACTCTTTCCCCCCACATGGACAAACCTTATGAAATCTTGCCTTTTATGAACTTTAGATGTATGAAATGTGTTTTCTGATTTCTTTGTGTGGCAGAAGCCTTTCCCCTTTTCTTCTGACCTTTGTTTCCCCTATATACATGAAGAAACTCCACAAAAGGGACTACAAAGCCCCAAACATCCCAGGAATTGTTTTTATCCACAACTTCCTTTTGCATGGACAATAGCCTGGGCAGCTGGTGGCCCTTGGAGGAATTGCCCAGCCCTCAGCTTGCCCCTTTGGCAAAAATCTTAATCATATTTCCTCCTGAAGGACAAAAGGTCCTCGAAAAACCTTTTGCCTTCGCTCTGATTAACTCAGCTATCTCCACCAAGAAACAATCACCCCAGTCTACACATGTTGATAGATCAGGCTGGCTTGAGATTTCCCCTTTGTCTCGCCGGCCACATGGCATTTCCTTTGTTTACTCCTTTCCCAGATTCCTTTGTGCTCCCTCATCCCGCCTCCATCTCTCCTGATTGGCTGTCGCCACCAGGTGGCAGAGGTCTCCCCATTGGTTCCTACGGACCACTGGAGCTTCCTGATTGGTCCAGAGGCACCGGGGGCAGGAGGGCCGCCTCCCAACTGTTTGCCCATCGCCCAATCATGGCAGGGAACAACAGGGAAGCCGGGGCGGGGAGTTTGAACTCTGCAACTTTGAATTTGCTATAAATATGCCTCTGATCAATGTACTGGTATGCTTGTGGGTGAGCTATCCCGCAATTGCATCCGATCCAGCTGAATCGCTAATAAAGAACCTCGGTCGCCATCTTCTTCCACTTTGGTGAGATTTTTATTATTTTTAATATTTTTTCGTCGCCGGAATTTGTCTTCTCTGTCCTCACCAAGGTTAGGGACCCTTTTTGGTGCGGTCCTAGGGGTCTCCTTTACTGGGGAGACCCTCCTAAAGTCCGTATTGACTTCAGTTGGACCTGATGGTCTTGCCTTCCAAGTAGTATCAGGATAACATATTTCCTTGCATAGCATTGACATAATAGTCGCACCCCCATTTTTGGGGTGGTAAACTTAGTATTTTTGTGTTCTTCACATAATAGTCGCAGAGCCATTTGGAACCGACTCCCTTTCCCTTCCTTCTTTCTCTAAAGGCAGTTTAAAAATTATGAAACGGAGGTCTCTGGACATCAGATCTTCCCTCCTTCCTTTGAAGAGCTCCATTTCAGATTTTGTAAACTGCCTTGCCTTCGGAGGAAGGAGGAGGCAAAACAGTTTAGAACAAATATGCAAACAAACAGGAACAAAGTATTTTGTTGGAGGATGGATAATCTCTCCTCCACCTCCATTTTTGGAGGTAAGGCAAGTTTTCTAAAAAAAATAATGAAAACAAACTGTTGAATCAAAGGCAGTTGTTTTCATCATGTAATAGTCTTACCCTCTTTTTGATTAAAAATGGGGATAGTGTGACTATTATGTGATGAAACATGGAAGTTGGTGCCTCCCAATCCTATTCTCCACCTCCCCCACATTTGGAGGTAAGGCAGTTTTCTAAAATAAATAATGAAAACAAACTGTTGAATCAAAGGCAGTTGTTTTCATCATGTAATAGTGTCACCCCCTTTTTGATGAAAAATTGGGAAAGTGCGACTATTATGTGATGAAACATGGAAGTTGGCGCCTCCCAATCCTATTCCCCCCAAGAGACAGAGACAGAATATAATGAAAACAAACTGTTGAATCAAAGGCAGTTGTGTTCATCATGTAATAGTCTTACCCTCTTTTTGATGAAAAACGGGAAAAGTGCAACTATTATGTGATGAAACATGGAAGTTGGCGCCTCCCAATCCTATTCCCCCCAAGAGACAGAGACAGAATATAATGAAAACAAACTGTTGAATCAAAGGCAGTTGTATTCATCATGTAATAGTCTTACCTTCCCATTCCTATCCCCCCCACCCCCAAGAGACAGAGGCAGAAGGATCTGGTACATTCTCACTTTTTATTAGGACATCCTAGTTATACAGCTTTAGTGCAAAGGTTGCCCGGGGGCACGGTCGTGGCTGCTCAGCATGCAGTAGTGCAGGGCCCCCCTAAAGCCAGCCACAAGGGTCGGGGGTCAGGGGTCAAGGGGGGTAAAGGGGGAGGGGAGGAATGGCGCAGGGCCTACACCCCCTGCCCCCCCAAATGACATCAGGAGTCAGGAAATATCTTCACATCTCGGTATAAAAGGTTGCAGCAAAGAGAGCAACTAAGGGTCCATTCTGCCCATCCTGCCCCCCTCCCGGAACCTAGAGGGAGGCCCCACTCATTTGGAAAACGGGAGTGGGGTATGCAAGCCCTGAACACTCTCAAACAGCCCACCCCCCAAGTGAAAGGAATAGAAAAGTCCAGAAATGGGGAGGTACTGAGGGGATTGGGGTAGATAGCATATAAACAGAGCCCCCCCCCCTTCCTAAAGGCTTGGTCTCTTGTTAGGGAGGGGGGCGGGAGTTAGGAGAGGGGCTGGTGACGATGTGTGGTTGATGGGGGGGGTATTGGGTGGCATGCCTGGGACAAGGAGGTCCCTCAAAACGAAACTGGACACCTCCAGATCAAAATACAAAGGAGGGAGATGGGGAGGGGAGGGAAGAGACAGACGAGCACAGCCTATATACAGCCCCCCCCCACCAAATCTTCTATTGCTGGTTATTCCCCCTCCCGACTTCCCATTTCATAAACAACAGGAAACCCCTTTGCTTCTTCTGAAAGACCCCCCCCCCAAAAAAAATAACTCTTCTTTCTTTTCCTGAGAAAAGCTTAAAAAAGGGAGGGGGCAGAGAGACCTGGAGGAACAACACACACAAACATACAACATATTCATGCTCGTCCCCGTCATTCACGCATAGACAAAACCAAAGGGGGTGGGGAGGGAGTAGGAGTATAAATCCTGGGTTGAGGGGTCAAAAGGGGAAGGAAGGAGCACAATGACCACAAAGAAACGAGGGGAGGGTCCGAGGGTGATGCTGCTGCTGCTGCTGCTGTTTGGAGAGAGAGAGGACCCCCCCTTCCGGACCCCCTACTCATTGCCGTGGCCGATGATGGCCAGGATGTAGAGGAAGATGTTGATAATGTCTGTGTAGAGGTTGAGGGCGGCAAAGATGTACTCCTCAGGGCTGAGGGCCAGCTGCTTGTTGCCCAGGATCATCTGCGTGTCCACCGCCAGGAACTGCAAGGGAGAGAGAAAAGGAGGTCAGGGGGCAGATTGGGGATGCGCAGGAGAACCCCTCACAGCAGGTCCAGCAGAGGAAGAGGCTGAAGAGGAAGCAGGAGGGGACCCCTGCTCGTGGGAAAAGCCTTCCCTTTTGGGGTGTGCTAGTGTGCAGATAGAATCATAGAATCATAGAATGTAAGACTGTAGGTTTTATATAGCAATATTAAATGATCACTCACAAGCCAGTTTTGCTTTGAAATGAATATATTGCTTGTTCCTCTGCAGCAAAGAAAGACACTACTGACTTTTCCCCACCACCACTTCCTTTTATACACCTTTCCTGCCCACCTCCCTCTTCTCAGTTTCCTTATTACAGCTTGTTGCTTCACAAGTTCTAATACAAGGTTTCCAGCATCCCTCTGCTGGCTTCAAAATGTCACAGAGAGAAAACTGAGGCAGCCAGGATGATTCAGTCAGGATGTCACGGAGGAAATTTGTGATGTCTTCATGCCATCAGAAATTGACTCCTGACATAGAATCAAAGAGTTGGAAGAGACTTCCTGGGCCATCCAGTTCAACCCCATTCTACCAGGAAGCAGGACTCCAAGATCTTTTTCACACGTCCTGCTCTCGAGCCAGGCCTCATCGTCCCCCATTCTGTCTCTTTGCATTTCGTTTTTTCTGCATAAGTGGAGTATCTTGCATTTGTCCCTGTTGAACTTCATTTTGTTAGTTTTGGCCTCATCTCTCTAATCTATCAAGATCGTTTTGAATCCTGCTCCTGTCCTCTGGAGTCTTGGCTCTCCCTCCCAATTTGGTCATGTCTGCAAACTTGATGATCATGCCTTCTAGCCCTTCATCCAAGTCATTAATGAAGATCCTGATCAGGACCGGGCCCAGGACAAAACCCTCCTGATGGCACTCCGCTCGTCACTTCTTTGCAGGATGAAGAGGACACTACAGTCCACACCTGGAATCACACTGTGTCCAGTTTCTGGGCACAACTGAAGGGAGATATTGACAAGCTGGAATGTGTCCAAAGGAGGGCGACCAAAATGATCAAGGGTCTGGAGAAGAAACCCTATGAGGAGCGGCTTGAAGAGCTGGGTATGTTTAGCCTGCAGAAGAGAAGACTGAGAGGAGACATGATAGCCATGTATAAATATGTGAAAGGAAGTCCTTTCTATTCCTGAGAAAAGCTTAAAAAAGGGAGGGGGGCAGAAAGACCTGGAGGCCCAGCTGTGGGCAGGAAAAACATAAACAGGAGGGATGGGGATTCCTTTCTGCTGCCCTGAAGACTAGGACGCAATGGAACAATGACTTCAAACTACAAGAAAGGAGATTCCACCTTAACATTAGGAAGAAATTCCTAACTGTGAGAGCCATTCAGCAGTGGAACTCTCTGCCGCGTAGTGGAGGCTCCTTCTTGGGAGGCTTTTAAACAGAGGCTGGATGGCCATCTGTCAGGGGTGCTTTGAATGCGATTTTCCTGCTTCTTGGCAGAATGGGGTTGGACTGGATGGCCCATGAGGTCTCTTCCAACTCTAGGATTCTATCATTCTAAAGTACTCCAGACAGGACAAAAGGGAACGAAGGCTAAGGTAGTCAAGATGAGTGAAGGTTGGAAAGAGAGAAAGACAGAGAAAGCCTGGAAATTTACCAGCCAAAATAAAGTTCAGACAAAGTCTCGCATGTGCTTTTGGAAGAGAGAGTTCAAGCCTAGGGATTGGCTCAAGCTGACAACATGAAAGCGCAAGAAGGAAAAACAACTGCTGAGACAACACTGATAAGAGAGGTGCCGAAGGAAAAGAGGATGCAAAGCTCAGAGAGAAAAAAATTGTGTGCACGTGCTCAAAATTTGGAGTATAAAACAAAGTTGCTCTCAGTTGTGTGTGTGGCACTTTCCACCCAGCAAGGTGACTTGATCAATCAAACCTGTTGCAACCATATCCTGCTTTCAGCATATGATTGAATTAAAAAAAAATCTGAAGGTTTTTGGGCTAATAGAGAAGAGGGAACAGCAGTGAGCCCAACAAGAGGAAGCAGAAGGCAAACTGTGTTTGGGGAAAGCCTTAACTTTTGGGCTGTGCTAGAGTGCTGAGTGCAGTTTCTTGTTTGTCTATCTACTCTGTTATACGAGATGTACTGTCTGCAACCATAAAAAAAGGGTTTTTACCTTCTTTTAAACCTTACCAGAGCCTGCTTCCTGCACATTTCCTCCCCTGTTTTTTCCCCATAAGTTTGTATAACCTGCTAGAGATGCCAAATAATCCTCCAGTTCCTGGCTCAGCTGGAGGACCGGCCCAGTTTCAGCATCCCCCTCTGAGGCCCAAACCTGAGCCCTAGAGACTTTTTGATGCTATGAAGCACAATGCATCGAGTACCAAGAAAGTTTCTCATGTACGCCAGTTAGACTCAAAGTGAAGACAGAAATCTTCACTCTTATTATTTTATTTACTTCGTTTTTGTTCCACCTTTATCATATATAGGGACTCAAGGTGGGAAACTATAAATAAAAGGCCTGTTTCCAGAACGAGGCAAAAGGATGACTCCCTCTCACTTACTTTGGGAGGCAGGACAAAGAATATTTACTGCAGCCAGCTTGCTTTGGGCAGAGCAGAAGGTGAGCCCTGGCACCACAATTAAGGAGGAAGCTAAGCAAGTCCAAGGACACCCCCTGCTCCTCCCCCCAAGGATGCATCATTGCAAGTTGCAGCAACAAAGACATTAAACCTTGCAGTGAAGATGGAGATTTGAACCCAGCCCTTTCCTCTGCCCTGGACCCTCCAAAACTGGAGAGCCTGCACTCGGGGTCAATTCCTTGAAATGCCAGGTGGCCCCTTGCAGGGCATCCAGTGAAGCAGCCTCTCTGCAGCCCTTGCTTTATTATTATTATTAGTAGTAGTAGTAGTAGTAGTAGTAGTAGTAGTAGTAGTATTTATATCCCACTTTTTCTCCCCACAAGGAGACTCAAAGTGGCTAACAATAAAAACATCACAATATAATTAAAAATATGCAAATATTAAAACCACACACCCCTGATTTGGGGGTGGGGGTGGGGTGTGCTTCTAGAGGCTTGAGGGGTGGGCCACAGGGGAGTCTGGGGGCCACGGGGGCCCATTCAGGTAATATCAAGGAGTTGCACCCCTTGCATCCACTCCTAGAGCTGTAACTATATGGAACTAGAGCTGTAACTATAAGAACACTCCCACTTTTCAGCCCACTCAGTTCCCTTGACGATTCCCTCTCCACCCTGTCATCGGAAACATCCCTACAGGTCATCCAAGGGAAGTTATATCCCAGCCCCACTTCCTCAGAGAGTTGACTAACTGTAGATCCTAGTCACATGGGGGGGAGGGGTTCCGAAGGAGGGGGGACCATCCAGGTCATGTGGGGGAGGAGATTTGCTGGTCACCAACGGCCCAGGGAGAAGCGCAACAGAGTTCTTGCGACCCTGGAGAAGGCAGGAAGTGGTAGGCTCTATGACAGACCCCCTGGCCTCAAGGTTCTGCTGATGAATGCCAGATCTGTCAACGGGAACACCGCAGCCATTCAGGACCTGATCCTGATCTGGCTTGGATCACTGAGACCTGGTTGGACGAGTTGGGTGGGGTAAATCTAACCCAGCTGTGCCCACCGGGCTTCGGGGTGCACCAGCAGGCCAGGCTTGGGGGGCGGGGAGAGGAGGGGGTCGCAGTAGTCTTTCGGCAATCCATCGCAGTGGTCAGATGCTCTGTTCCGCAATCATCTGGGTTCGAGTGTATCCACCTGAGGGTGGGGAATCGTTATAGCTTGGGGTTTCTGCTGGTGTACCGCCCACCCCACGACGCAGCAGTTTCCCTGCCTGAGCTAGCAGATATGTATTGTCGAAGGCTTTCATGGTTGGAATCACTAAGTTCTTGTGGGTTTTTTCGGGCTATATGGCCATGTTCTAGAGGCATTTCTGACGTTTCGCCTGCATCTATGGCAAGCATCCTCAGAGGTAGTGAGGTCTGTTGGAAATAGGAAATGGGTTTATATATCTGTGGAATGACTGGGGTGGGGCAAAGAGCTCTTCTCTGCTGGAGCTAGGTGTGAATGTTTCAGCTGATCACCTTCATTAGCATTTGAAGGCCTGCCTGAGCCTGGGAAAATGTTCTGTTGAGAGGTGTTAAGATGTGCCTGGTTGTTTCCTCTCTGCTGTTTTGCTGTTATAATTTTAGAGTTTTTTAATACTGGTAACCAGATTTTGTTCATTTTCATGGTCTCTTCCTTTCTGTTGAAATTGTCCACATGCTTGTGGATTTCAATGGCTTCTCTGTGTAGTCTGACATGGTGGTTGTTGGTGTGGTCCAGAGTGGTCCAGCATTTCTGTGTTCTCAAATAAAATGCAGTGTCCAGGTTGGTTCATCAGGTGCTCTGCTATGGCTGACTTCTCTGGTTGAAGTAGTCACCAGTGCCTTTCATGTTCCTTGATTCGTGTTTGGGCACTGCGTTTGGTGGTCCCTATGTAGACTTGTCCACAGCTGCATGGTATACGGTAGACTCCTGCAGAGGTGAGAGGATCCCTCTTGTCCTTTGCTGAACGTAGCATTTGTTGGATTTTCTTGGTGGGTTTGTAGATTGTTTGTATGTTGTGTTTCCTCATCAGCTTCCCTATGCGGTCAATGGTTCCCTTGATGTATGGCAGGAACACTTTTCCTCTGGGTGGATCTTCATCTTTACTCTCGTGGCTTGTTCTTGTTCAAGAACCGGCTCTAGACCCTTGCCCGTCTTGGCTAATTAAATTGACCAGGGAGGGGTTGGTTGATTGGTTTGTGTTGATCATTAATGCATCATTGGAGCAGGGGGGCTTTCCATCTAGACTAAAACAGGCTGTGGTCCGACCACTCCTTAAAAAGGTCTCCCTTGACTCCACGATGCTGAACAACTATAGACCAATCTCCAACCTCCCTTTTCTGGGTAAGGTGCTGGAGTGGGTGGTCGCCTCCCAGCTCCAGGCTTTTCTAGATGACATCAATTACCTGGACCACTCACACTCTGGTTTCAGGCCTGGTCACGGCACCGAGACAGCCTTGATCGCCTTGGTGGATGACCTCCGTAGAGAGCTGGACAGGGGGAGTGTGACTCTGTTGGTTCTCTTGGACATCTCAGCGGCTTTCGATACCATCGATCATGGTATCCTTCTGGGTCGACTCTCTGGGATGGGTCTCGGGGGCACGGTTTTGTCGTGGCTCCGGTCCTTCCTGGAGGGTCGATCCCAGATGGTGAAGCTGGGAGATGCCTGCTCGGACCCCTGGCCTTTGACCTGTGGGGTCCCGCAAGGCTCTATTCTGTCTCCCCTTTTTAACATCTACATGAAACCGCTGGGAGAGGTCATCCGGAGTTTTGGAGTTGGGTGCCATCTCTACGCAGATGACACACAACTCTACTACTCTTTTCCACCTAATTCCAAGGAAGCCCCTCGGGTGCTGGACGAGTGCCTGGCCGCTGTGGCTGTCTGGATGAGGAGGAACAAGCTGAAGATCAATCCCGACAAGACAGAGGTCCTCCTGGTCGATCGTAAACCGGATCGGGGTATAGGGTGGCAACCTGTGTTGGACGGGGTTGCACTCCCCCTGAAACCACAGGTCCGCAGTTTGGGAGTCCTCTTGGATTCATCGCTTACGCTTGAGGCTCAGGCGTTGGCGGTGTCTGGGAGGGCTTTCGCACAATTGAGACTAGTGCGCCAACTGCGACCATACCTCGCGAAGGCTGATCTGGCCGGGGTGGTCCATGCCTTGGTCACCTCTAGATTGGAGTACTTAATGCGCTCTACGTGGGGCTGCCCTTGAAAACGGCTCGGAAATTTCAGCTAGTTCAGCGGGCGGCAGCCAGGAAGTTAACTGGTGCTCCTTACAGAGAGAGGTCAACCCTCCTGTTCAAGGAGCTCCATTGGCTGCCATTCATTTTCCAATCCCAATTCAAGGTGCAGGTGCTCACCTACAAAGCCCTAAACGGTTTGGGACCTGCCTACCTGCGTGACCGCATCTCCGTTTACGAACCCGCACGCTCCCTTCGATCATCTGGAGAGGCCCTTCTCACGGTCCCACCTGCGTCGCAGGCGCGTTTGGTGGTGACGAGGGACAGAGCCTTCTCTGTGGTGGCCCCCCAACTCTGGAACTCTCTCCCCAAGGGCATCAGACATGCCCCAATGTTGGCTGTATTTAGGAAGAGCCTGAAGACCTGGCTGTTCCAGTGTGCCTTTCCAGAATAGGAAACTCCTGGCTTTAGTCCCAAATGCACTTCGTTAGAGATTCAGGATTATCTGCACATTGCACCTACCTCCATATACCTCTACATATTACCTGTCAAGTTCAGCATTTTTAAACTTTGTCCATTACATTGGCCCGGCCTTTAGGTTTTAATTGCGTCACGATGTTATTGTCTTACTGTTCTATTGTTTTGCTTGATGTTTTATTATTTGCTTATGAATTTATTGTGTATTGTCGGCGGCCTTGGCCTTTGTAAGCCGCATCGAGTCCTCCGGGAGATTTTGCGGGGTATAAATAAAGTTAATAATAATAATAATAATAATAAGTCTGTGACTTTGCATTCATGTGGAATTGGGGACTGTGCCGTGGTGGAGGGTGTGTGGAGAAATGGGTGTGTTGTTTTGCGACGTGAGCAATGCACAACAACAGTAAAGTTATTCTATTTATCCAAAGGCTGAAAAGAAAAAAAAATGTCCCCAAGTGCCCCCTAGTGGACAGGTAGGGTATTTGCATTACGCTTTTGGGGAAAGGAGAGGCCTTTTTGGAAAGGAAGTGGAGGTCCCTCTCTTGCCCCTTGGCCACTCTTTGCCCACCCATTTCCACCAAAGGAAGCACAGCAGACCCAGAGGGGATCTGCACGGATGCCCCCCCCACACACACACATCAGCCCAGCCCCGCTGGAAACTCACGCAGGTGAAGAGGAGGGCCCCCAGCGAGGCGTAGACGATCTGCATGATGCGGTTCCGGATGAAGATGCAGAGGATGGCGAAGATGAAGAGGACCATCAGGCAGACGATCAGCACCCCCCGGCAGGAAGTGAAGTCGTACTTGGTCTGCGGAAAGGGAAAGCAAGGCCGGCATGGCCGTTAGCAAAGGAGCACCGAGGCCCGTCCACAAACACCCCCACCAGGATCTTTGGGAGACCCACCTGCAGGGAGAAGATGACCACCGTGAAGCAGACGGCGGTGGTGATGCCCACGGCCATGATGACGGCATCCGTGTCGTAGAAGCTGGCGATCATGCCCACCATGTAGGAGAGGCTCAGCGTCAGGATGGACTGTGGGGAGAGGAGAGAGCGTGGGGCAGGGCACCCCATTAGTCGCCCCCATTTGCCACCCTCGCTGCTCCATTAGCAATCATGGGGCAGCCCCTCGTCACCCACCCCTCCCTGCCCCCTACCCTACCAGGGCCACCAGGTTCCAGGGGTGCTTGCGCCGGAACTCCCCGCAGCAGCTGAGCACGATGAGGGAGATGAAGAAGATGGCGTAGGAGAGGTAGTACGTCCAGACGTTCCTCCGCACAAAGTCCTTCATGTCCTTCACAAAGGTGAAGATGGCCACGAAGGCAAAGGTGACCGAGAGCTGGACGGTCAGGACCAGGAAAACCTGCGGGGTACAAGGACGGGAACTCAGACTGCAAATAGTCACACTTGTATACCCTACACGTTGTCAGGTATTCCTTCAACCTGAAGCAGTTTCCCAGCCCAACCCTCCAAGCAGGATTTGTATGAAGTAGCAACCTTCTTCAAGTCTCCTACACTAGCTATTTGTTATGTATATAATTCAGACTGCTTACTGTATTGTATATGTGTGAATTGGTATGCCGTTTTTCCTTAACTCTGTGTTGTGGAAGGGGCTGCAGACCATGTGGTCAAATCTGGGACTATTCAGGACTCAGATGTTGGAGTTCAGCTTGTGATTGTGTCGAATGATCAGAGTACTCTGGATGATGGGAGTGGCAATGAGGTTCATGTGTCTAATGATGAGGTTGCTCTAGATCAGTGGTTTTCAACCTTGATTCCTGTTCAAAGTGATTTTTCTTATGAGAATGTTCCTGAAGGGTTTGGGGATGGTATTATGTTCCCTGAGCCTGAATTGCTTCCAGAGAATTCCAATGACTTTGAGCCTGAGAAAGGCTTGGCACCTGGGCCCAGTTGCAAGATAATGAGCTGGTAGATAGGAGGAATGCTTTCAGTCAACACAGACAAACAAACCAAGTTCTCAGACGCGCTACCAGATTGCGAGAGAGATTGATAACAGAGTCAAGGCTGAAAAGAAATCCATTCCTGGCTGCTTGGGATATAGAGTAGATTAGGGGATAAAAGTGCCAAGTAAAGAATCTGTAGCCAGACGAAGCAATGTCGGAATTGAGTCAAGATGTTGTCCCAGGTCCCTGGAAGCCTTGCCTTGGATAGATTCCTGTGCTAAGTGTCTTGTTTGATTCATGTTCAAGTTTTGGAGTTTTACTTTGAAAGTTACAGTGTTTGTTTTCATGAACTCTGATGGACTAATTTCCTGGACTATTTGTTTCTATCTTTCTACCTAATTGGATTTACCTATTTTTGTGGATTGCTTTTTACTGCTACTGCTTTTAAAATATTTTCAATAAACTGCTTGCATTTTTACTCAGCTGTGTGGGGTTTAAAGTCAGAGGGCTTTCCTGGCCTGGAGTGCAACATCGGACTCCATTTTAGAGGACAGAAGCCATAAGACGCTCAGAGATGCTTTAGGCTTTGGACTGATTGATCATAAGAAAGCTGCCCTGTGTTATCTGTACAGAGAAACGATTTCAAATCTGTAACTGGACTGATAAGGAATGTACCTGTATGCTGAATACATGAAGGTTGTAAGTAAACCAACTATGGTATGTGACTTAACAAAGACTACTTTATTTTTGTCTCTTGAGAACACGATTTAAACCAAGATGTTTTAAGGGAGAAGAGATGTTTCTGGGCAACTGAAAAGAACACTTCTGAAACTGTTGTTTTTTGTACATTGGCATATCTTTGTCCCTAACAGTTCAAAGAGACAACTAGGTCATCAGTCCGAGAAACCTAACTGATTAAAACCTGTTCATGAACTCTGATAAGAATTGGGATAGTGATAACAGAAATGTTTATAATGTTAAGAAGGAGGTCAACTTAAGATCAACACCAATCAAGATCAACATCTGGCCAGGAAACTGAGATGGATCCAGGACGGAAGATGTCTATCATTAATTTACAACTTTGGGACTACATCAGCAGAATCTATATATATATAAATCTAATAATGCTCAAAGTGTGGCAGACCTGAGGAGTCTGTTCCACCCGCTATGCTCTGCTCCATGGGAAGGACAGAGATGGTGTATTTGTAGAGTGGCAGATTGGCAAGGGAGCAGTCTGGTCACTTTGGGGTTTCTTTCTCAAGGGAAGAGGAAGAAGTGTGCTTTTGGAGTCTTAGATTTTGTGCAGGAAGTCAGGTTCTGCTGTATGGGAAACAGAGATCTGGTCCTTGGTATTGTGCTTAGGGAAGAAGTTTTGGCATTTTGAAGTTATGGAAATATTGGAACTATGTGTTAGAAGGGCTGCAGGAAAGCAAGGTCCAGCCTAAGAGGTGCTTCTCCAAGGAGGGAGAAAATGATATGGTGATACTTGAATGCCTGAGGATGGATGCGTGTACATGTGGCGTGGATGGTGAGTGAAAATGTAATTCCCCTTTGTTTGTTTGTTAACCAATGTAATTGTGCATCCAATGTAGTTACATAGAATCTGTATGTCTGTATGTCTGTTGGGGTTCAGCCTGGTTGTGAACCTGAACCTGCTTCTCTGATTGTATTTCCTGATGCTACTGAAAATGATTCTAATGAAAATGTATCTCCTGATGCTACTGAAAATGTTGATTCTGAGGTCAGTGTAGAAGAAACTCCTGCAGGCTTGGAAGGCTTGGAAACTGAAAGTACACATTCTCCTGAGAATGTTTCAGGGTCAAGTGGTGATAGCTCTCCAGAGAAGCTAACACCTGGGATCCTTAATGAGGATAGAAGAGGACAGATTTGGAAAAGCAGGAGTGAATCGCAGAGTCTGCGAAGGTCAAGCAGATTAAAAGAAAAAGAAACAAGGGCTTCGAAGCCTGGAGGCGTGTCACGAAACAGTTTCCTTGGCTTTAAGTGCCTCTCGCCGGGTTGACTCTTTAGATCAGGCATCGTTTTAGACTGAGGCATTACCTTGGCAGATCTCCCGTTTCCCGTGGTCTTTATCCCAAGAGGCTTCTAATGCTCCAAGTACAATTAGTGGATTGCTAACAGGTTCCAGGATTTTACAGTGTTGCTTTTGGTTTTTGATCCAGTACATGGAAATTTTTGTTTGCTGATTTTTACTGTGGCTTTTTGACTGTGCATTTTTCTCTATTTTGTAACCATTTTTCATCAATAAAAAGGGATTGTTTTTTCCTACAGTCAAGTGTGGTGGATGGTTATCTTAGGGTCTCATTTCCTGGGTTGCAACAATGTCCAATGTCATTCTTTGTCTAAATGTTTTTTCTGTAATTTGATATACTTTCTCACACTGGAAATTGCAATAAAAAGAACCTAAACGGCGCTCCATGCAGTCATGCCGGCCACATGACCTTGGAGGTATCTACGGACAACGCTGGCTCTTCGGCTTAGAAATGGAGATGAGCACCACACCCTAGAGTCAGACATGACTGGACTTAATGTCAGGGGATTACCTTTACCTTTAACTATGCTTCAAAGTGACTGAAAAGTCATTCATGACATAATTGGTGTCGGAAGTGGGATATTCTTTTCCAATGTGGGAAAGTTATTCATAACAAGGAGACTCTTTTCCTTTTCGACTGTGTGGCAGATCTAAGAGGAATGCAGCATTTTGAACATCCGCCACCTTCCTCCCAACAAGCCTGATCAGCTTAACGGAGAGGGATGGTGAGTATGAATGCTGAATGGATGTGGAGTGAATGCTGAGTAGATGTGATTTTCCCCCTTTCTCTGTGTAACTAATATAGCTATTACAAAACCCAGTACAGGAGTCTGTGTGTCTACACCTTTCTCTGAACGTGCCTGATGTACTCTGTCTCATAGAATCATAGAATCAAAGAGTTGGAAGAGACCTTCTGGGCCATCCAGTCCAACCCCATTCTGCCAAGAAGCAGGAATATTGCATTCAAATCACCCCTGACAGATGGCCATCCAGCCTCTGTTTAAAAGCTTCCAAAGAAGGAGCCTCCACCACACTCCGGGGCAGAGAGTTCCACTGCTGAACGGCTCTCACAGTCAGGAAGTTCTTCCTCATGTTCAGATGGAATCTTCTCTCTTGTAGTTTGAATATGTTCCGCGTCCTAGTCTCCAAGGAAGCAGAAAACAAGCTTGCTCCCTCCTCCTCCCTGTGGCTTCCTCTCACATATTTATACATGGCCCTCATCATGTCTCCTCTCAGCCTTCTCTTCTTCAGGCTAAACATGCCCAGCTCCTTAAGCCACTCCTCATAGGGCTTGTTCTCCAGACACTTGATCTAGCTCCCTCCTCCCTGTGGCTTCCTCTCACATATTTATACATGGCTATCATATCTCCTCTCAGCCTTCTCTTCTTCAGGCTAAACATGCCCAGTTCCCTAAGCCGCTCCTCATAGGGCTTGTTCTCAGACCCTTGATCATTTTAGTCGCTCTCCTCTGGACACATTCCAGCTTGTCAATATCTGTAAACAAGCCCTATGAGGAGCGGCTTAAGGAGCTGGGCATGTTTAGCCTGAAGGTGGTCAGCAGAAGGAACCCCCCCCCCCCCAAACACTGATAACAGATACAAGACCATTTTTAAGGTTCAGAAAGTATTTGTGACACAACGCCTCACCTCCATCCACCGCGCTACTTACCTTGCGGATGAAGGCCTGGCGGATGCTCTTGTCGTCCCAATTCGTGGGGGGGAAGTCCTGGTTGTCGTAGTAGGAGGGCGGCCCATCCTCATGGTAGTTGCTGTGCATCGGGGCTGCAGGGGGGGAGGGAGGGAGGGAAGAATAAGGGTGTGCACAATCCCCACACGACCCTGTGGGAGCAAGGCCCTGCCTCTCTCTCTCTCTCTCTCTGGCCCTGCCTGCCCCACAGCGGCAATGGAGTGTGCCTGGGAGGGGGCGCTCACCGATACGCACGGACGCGTTGCCTGGTTTCCGTACCACATAGACAGGGTGTCTCGCTCCATCTGGGGGTCCGAAGGCAACAAGAGAAGAGAGGAGACTGAGCCGGACCCCGCAGCGCCCCACTGCGCTGTTCCAGGGGGGTGGTCCCCTCCTTACCAGTAAGACCCAGCAAAGGTGATGGGGCCACTCTTGCCCTGAACTCCCTGCTATCTTCCTAGCCCCCCCCCCAAAACCCACCCACCCGTGAGTCATTCAGGCTACTTACAGTCCTCGTCCATAGGGACCCCGGGGTGCTGCTGAGGGTAGGGCCCCTGTGGATAGGGCCCCTGCGGGTACGGCCCTTGTGGATAGGGCCCAGGTTGAGGGTACGGCCCCTGTTGAGGGTAGGGTCCCTGTTGAGGATAGCCCGTCTGTGGAGGGTAGGGCCCCTGTGGATATCCTGGCTGGCCATAGACAGCAGGCTGTGGGTAGGGGCCTGGCTGCGGGTAGGGGGCCGGCTGCGGGTAGGGGGCTGGTGGTGGATAGGGGGGCTGGGCGTATCCCGGCGGGGCGGGGGGCTGCTGCCCCGGAAAGGGGTCTCCCGACACCAGGAAGCTCTTCTCGTGCGACATGACTGCCACACTCATGGGTGCGTCGCCACCTCAGAGCTGGAGAGAGAGAGAAAGAAAAAGGAAAAAAGAGAAGAGAGGAGGGGGTCAGGTGGGTGGCGGAAGGACCCTTCCCCGGCCAACAACCCTGTTTCCCACAATTCATTGAATGCCACTGCATTTCATCCACTGTAAGATGCCATCGCATGTAGGAAGCACCCTAACCTCAGTATCGTCACCATCAACAAAAATACGTAAGATACACTTGTGATTATAAGACACACCCCATTTTTAGAGATATTTATACAGGGGGAAAGGTGTGGCTTACAACTGAAGAAATAGAGTGGATAGATGGATAGATGGAGGGGGTGGATGGATAGATAGATAGATAGATAGATAGATACCGTAGATAGATTGGATGGATGGATGGACTGACAGACAGACAGATATGGTGGTTTGGGGTGGATGGATATATAGATGGGGATGGATAGATAGATAGAAAGATAGATAGGATGGACAGGCAGACAGACAGACAGATATGGTGGGTTGGGATGGATGGATGGATAGATAGGTAGGACGGATGGACGGACAGACAGACAGACAGACAGATATGGTGGGTTGGATAGATATATAGATGGGAATGGATAGACAGATAGAGAGAAGAGATGGACAGACAGACAGACAGATATGGTGGGTTGGGATGGATGGATAGATATATCGATAGATAGGATGGACAGACAGACAGATATGGTGGGTTGGGATGGATGGATGGATAGATAGATAGGATGGACGGACAGACAGACAGACAGATATGGTGGGTTGGGATGGATGGATGGATAGATAGATGGGAATGGATAGACAGAGAGAGGGGATGGACAGACAGACAGATATGGTGGGTTGGGATGGATGGATGGATAGATAGATAGGATGGACGGACAGACAGACAGACAGATATGGTGGGTTGGGATGGATGGATGGATAGATAGATGGGAATGGATAGACAGAGAGAGGGGATGGACAGACAGACAGATAGCTATGGTGGGTTGGGATGGATGGATAGATAGGTAGGTAGGTAGGACGGATGGACGGACGGACAGACAGACAGACAGATATGGTGGGTTGGGATGGATGGATAGATATATAGATGGGAATGGATAGACAGAGAGAGGGGATGGACAGACAGACAGATAGATACGGTGGGTTGGGATGGATGGATGGATAGATAGGTAGGACGGATGGACGGACAGACAGACAGACAGACAGATATGGTGGGTTGGATAGATATATAGATGGGAATGGATAGACAGAGAGAAGAGATGGACAGACAGACAGACAGATATGGTGGGTTGGGATGGATGGATAGATATATCGATAGATAGGATGGACAGACAGACAGATATGGTGGGTTGGGATGGATGGATGGATAGATAGATGGGAATGGATAGACAGAGAGAGGGGATGGACAGACAGACAGATAGATATGGTGGGTTGGGATGGATGGATAGATAGGTAGGTAGGTAGGACGGATGGACGGACGGACAGACAGACAGACAGATATGGTGGGTTGGGATGGATGGATAGATATATAGATGGGAATGGATAGACAGATAGAGAGAAGGGATGGACAGACAGACAGACAGACAGACAGATATGGTGGGTTGGGATGGATGGATAGATATATCGATAGATAGGATGGACAGACAGACAGATATGGTGGGTTGGGATGGATGGATAGATAGATAGGATGGACGGACAGACAGACAGACAGATATGGTGGGTTGGGATGGATGGATGGATAGATATTCGGGAATGGATAGACAGAGAGAGGGGATGGACAGACAGACAGATAGATATGGTGGGTTGGGATGGATGGATAGATAGGTAGGTAGGTAGGACGGATGGACGGACGGACAGACAGACAGACAGATATGGTGGGTTGGGATGGATGGATAGATATTTGGGAATGGATAGACAGAGAGAGGGGATTGACAGACAGACAGATAGATATGGTGGGTTGGGATGGATGGATAGATAGGTAGGATGGACAGACAGACACATATGGTGGGTTGGGATGGATGGATAGATACATAGATGGGAATGGATAGATAGATAGATAGATAGATAGATAGATAGATAGATAGATAGGATGGATGGACGGGCAGACAGACAGATAGATAGATAGTAGGCCTGGGTAACAACGGAAAAATTTGTTTCTAAAATCGATTTGTATTTGGGGGTTTTTTTTGTTTCGATATTTAAAATAATTACAAAATTTTCCTTTTAAAAAGTTCGATATTTACGAAATTTCGTAAATGTTAAAAAAATTAACGAATTGATTTCCGAAACAATAACGAATCGATTCGTTAATGGCGGGCGCGACCGCGAAGTACGCTAAAAAACCTCCAAAACCTTCTGAAGCTTCCCTCTCCCTCTGTTGTTGACTGTTGGTGTGATATTATAATTTTTTTTCACTAATTAAACCATAAAACTGGCCCAGACATGCGGAAATAATAACGAAACGACCTCAAAACAATAACGAGACGAATACAATATCGAAATACGAAGCATTTACAAAACGTTTTTGAAAATTCGTTTTTTTAAATAATTGTTCCAGAATGGTTCGTTATCGTTTTGTAATTGAAAAAATTAACGAATTATTAACGAATTACGAATTAACGAAACGAAACCGCCCAGCCCTAATAGATAGATAGATAGATATGGTGGGTTGGGATGGATAGATAGATACATAGATGGGAATGGATAGATGGATAGATAGACAGATAGAATGGACGGATGGACAGACAGACAGATATATATGGTGGTTTGGGATGGATGGATAGAGAGGGGGGGAGGGAGATGGGTTGGACAGACAGATAATGTGGTAGGTTAGCGTGGATGGATAGATAGATGAGAATGTATAGACAGATAGATACCATGTTTCTTCACTTGTACGACATCATCGATTGTAAAACGCACCCTAATTTCAGTACTGCCACCGCCATCAAAACTACATAAGATACGCCTGCGATTCTAAGATGCACCTCCATTTTTAGAGATGTCTATATAGGGAAGAAGGTGGGTCATAGAAATGAAAAAATGTCTGCTACGAAAAATCAGTTTAATTTCCATTGAAGCAGCATTGGAAAAGAATATACGAAGACCAGGAGACAATGTGAGAAGACAGAAGAAGACACAACCAAAGGACTTGAAATTAAAATAGTGGGAATCCTCAATGTATTATGTAATATGTGCTAATAAAATAGCGATGAAGACTTGTAACAAGGATAATATTGTAAAAGAACAACAACGTTCACCCTCTTTGTTTTCTCCATGCGACATACCAGACATTGATAAAGATGAAACCAACCAATAATTAATCTATTATCCCCCAATTTTTCTTTTTCCTAGGCAAATACTCACACTGAGTCATACAGGAGAGAGAAAGATGGATTCTTTCATCCTCTTTATATAATAGGCCTGGACCAACCGGTCCTCCCTGTAAGGGTTTTGGACTACAACTCCCACAATTCCCAATTGTGGGGGTTGAAATCCAATTCAAAACATCAGGAGGGCCCAAGTTGGCCTGGGCTAGGATATTATTATTATTATTATTCAAAATATCGAAAGGGTTTCTGATCGCGATGTAAATCTGTTCTTCCCCCTGTGATGGGAATAACATTGCTCCTTTCAGAATGGAATGAGGACGAACCACGTCGTGGATATTTGCACTGAGCTGAGTAAAATAAAACATGCTCCCGACAAAACTGCCAACGTTGGACACCTAATATGAATGCACTCGACTTGAATGATAAGATTCTATAATCTACGATGCTGAGGCTCGCCAACACCTTCTAAGCCACATCGGTGTGGAGAACTTCTGAATAAAAAGTAATGCCTCCACCTTTGTAACTCCTCAACAGATGTCAGTACTGGTATGTGGCAAGTACTGGCTTGTTCAGCAGACTCTCCTCTACAGTTCCATTTTGGCAGGAAGCCTTAGCATTGAACGGTTGTGTTGTTAAAGTGCGAAGTATGGAACCCTGCGCAGACGGTCAGTGAATGCGACTTAAGCAACCTATGCAGCAGGTACTGGCTTGTTCAGTAGACTCTCCTCTACAGTTCCATTTTGGCAGGAAGCGTTTATTAAAATATTCCCATCCGAACCCAAGTAACGAAGGTGGAGGCATTACTTTTCATTCAACCCTCGTAGCAAAGCACTTTTCATTCAACCCTCATCCCAAGCACTTTGAGGTCAGCAGAGACTCCCTTTCCTACCATCATCCTGCATTTCTGGTCCAGATTCAAAGTGGGTGCGATTAAAACTCCGGACCGCCCCGGACGGACAGGTGCACGTATCTGCAAGCGGACTTGCAAGGCTTCCTTTCCTTTGTTCTGCTTCACCAAGAGGAAACGACACAGCGCACGACAAACAAACACACTTTATGTTTAGACCGGCGGTTTCCCCACTCCAGCGTTTCCGCCTTTTGAAGAGTGCCCAAACAGGAAGTAACCAGGAAGCGGCTTCGGCTCACTTCCCGAGGTCCGAAAAGGACCTAAAGTCTCAAGAGCCTTTGTTTACAATTTCTGGGACTTGGAAGGGCCCCGATCCCAAGAGGCGACCCACAAAAAAGTCATGTAAACACTGCCAAGGAGCCCAGGACAAATTGATCTCCCTTCCTGCTATACCAAGCATGGGTAAATTTGGGCCTTCCAGTGGTTTTGGACTCCAACTCCCATCATTCCTAACAGCCTCAGGCCCCTTCCTTTTCCCTCTCAGCTTAAGCGACTGAGAGGGAAAGGGAAGGGGCCTGAGGCTGTTAGGAATGATGGGAGTTGGAGTCCAAAACACCTGGAGGGAGGGCCAAAGTTGGCCCATGCCTTTGCTCTACCCAAAGCATCCTCAAATGTAACAGCCTTGCCTCTGCAGCTCTGGCTCTACTTTTGGCTACTTGGCGGGCGCAGACGGCTCCCTCTCCAGCCGCGGATCGTGACCGAGGCCTCGCCCCATCGGCCTCTGTCCTTCCGGGTCAAAGGACTCCCAACGGACTGCTGGTCAAGCA